GGGGGAGTGGGGGGGGGGGGGGGGGGGTCACATTTTGTTAAATTGTTTCATTCATCACGTCGTGTTTGTGGCTTGATGGCTTGTAAGGGGAGTGAATTGATGGGCTGGTGCTACAAACAAACGCCGTTCGTTCAACATCGATCCGCACATTCATACGCCGAGAGATGTAGATGCCCAAGCCTTCGGGCCGCTGTTCCAGCTGAACGTCGTCGAGGGCGTCTTCTTTTTTTTTACCTGACCAACCAAGAAACGAAGCAGGGGGGAGCATTAGGCGCGCACGTCACTGACACCCCGGCGCAGAGAGAGCTGACGCCGAAGAAGTGTGTCTGCTCCATTGTTCGTGTTTGTTTGGGGTGCCTGTAGTAGGTGAATGTCGGCATTAGGTTGGATTTCACACCCACCGCGTTTGACTTCTGAAGCAAAGAGAGAGAAGGTAAATTTTGTGGACGAAAGTGGCAGGCCAGTCACTGCCGCTTCCCACGCGACACGTCTCAAAAATGAGCACACACAGAAGAATCACCCACACCTTTACCAAAACTCAACCTAATCTGCTTCGACTACCCACCTGTTTTTTCTACGTTGCCAACGGAAGCCCAAGCCTGCACCAACCGACAGACAGTCATCATGGATATCATCGGGGTCGACACATCTATCAACACGTGGAATAATACCCCTGTCGGGTTACATGTCCTCCTGTCACACACCGTACGTTTTGCGCAGATTCACGAGTAGTCTCGGACATTGGATATACTAATAATGTACTTGTGGAGCAATCGAGGAACCTAGCGTTAAATTTCTGTACAGTGGGGGAGCGCACACTCCAGGGGTATGCCATTTTTGTAACGGTTTGGGATCTCTACAAAGAGCGTGATTGAGTGTGTGTGACAAGACCACACTATACTAGCACCTACCGCGTGGCTCATTTAGTGGGTCCGTTCTCTGTGTCTGTGTTGCTTCTTTCCGAGTACCCAAGTCAGACCGATGGTAGCCGCCCACTTCACGTTTCGTCTCATGTATGGTGGTCCCAACGAGTCACACAACAACAGTAGTTTGGTTCGGTGTATAACATCGTAGTGCCTTCTGGCCTCTGGTTCTGTAAGTACCAGTAGGTTTGTTACGGCTCTTCGAAAGTCCCCTCGAGTGAACAGAGATTTATTTGTGTCCGGTTCCGCGGAATGGGCAACCCCATTCACACAGCAGTAACCGGAGTTTCTCTTGTAAATTTAGAGAGTCTCGAAATACCGATCCCCCAACAGATGTTTTGACAAAACATCCATTGCTGACTCATGGTGCGACTGCAGAGGACATCCTATATCCTACCATGTACTACTGCATGTATGACAAACGAGTACCCGTATCTTGTATTGAGGAATAACAACTTCCACGAACGAACCGCAACAAAGCTGCTTTTTGTTTGTTCCTTTTCGCCGACCGTTTCATGCACAAACTCTCCGCGCCGAGGAGACCATCAATCATCAATTCGGTGTTGGTTTTCACGATCGGATGGGCAGATGCTACTACTGTACTGCGCTGAGAGGTAGGCATGGTAATCAATATTTCTGTGCGAACGCCGTTGGATATCTGGGGCGTGTGCGGCGTGTGCGGCGTGTGCGTGAGCACGTCTCATCACTCTTAAATATCCGAGAAGGTCGGCACAAACAGGGAGATGTGCCTGGCCCTTTCCACCATGAACAGGCGACGTGCCCTAGCCAACACAAAAAGAACATGATGTCCTGGGCTGGGTGTTATCGGACGCTGCCTCAGCCTCAGGTTCTGCGTAGCTCCTACAGCAGTGTTGATGCATGAATCATTTCTGTCTCTGCTTGGACCGGGCCATGAAAAACTTCGCCCGCGAGAGCGAATTTCAATGGGTGCTCTTTACTGGTGTCCACATAATTGCACTTCTCAGGATACGGATTGCGTCGTTAGTGAGCTGACATGGTCGGCAACGGAGGCAGCCGTCGAAAGGAAGACGCTAGACATAGCGATTCTAGTGATGATGATGATGACGACGACGAAGACCAAGAGCCGGAAGGACCGCCGCAGAAGTTTGTGCTGGCCGGGGACGATACGGGCAGCGGCATCGAATACAACATCCTAGACCCAGAGTCTTGGCAGAAGCTGGAGCACTATTGTAAGGTATGTAGGCTCTGTCGTGCACGAGGTGACCAAACCTGTGCATGCTGCTATTTATGACGCCAAGTCCCAAGGATCTTGCACAAAACTTATCCGCGCAATCCATCGCGCTCGCGTTCTAAGATGATGGCACGAAACTCCGCCGTGATAAACTTCACTGTGGTCCTTCGATACAGAGTTCACGTACGTACACAGGTCGACTGCAGATATTTTCCGTCTAATGTGATTTCCTACTGTGTTGTTGTCGCCAGCTGTTCGAAAACATCAGTCATATTGTCGACGGCAGCAGCATCACTCTTACCGAATGATTTGGATTCTAACTTGCCGTACCCATCAAGACGTGCTTGTGTCTGCTAGACTTTACGTGATTTTTCATCGTAGAAGATGAAGTTGTTTGTGTTGTTGTGGCTGTTACTGAGCCCAATTTTCAAGCCGGGTTCTCCTTGCATAGGTGTCCACGATCCTCGTCTGATGCTACTACATAGTCAACTTTTTACGGATGGTGACAGAAATGGGGCATCAAGCAAGCGCACCTCGAGTCGATCTACTCTCGGTTCGCCCGCACTATCATCAGGACGGAGCACCTGGATTTCACGCTCAAGCCCCAGTACCACGCAAGTCTGGATTTCCTGGCGGTAAGAGGGGGAAAACGGGGGCAGCAGCCTTCGCAGGTTTTTCCGTTTATGTCAACATGTGGATAAAGCATGCGATCGGGGAAGCTCAATTAGGGTTAGGGATAGGGTCTGGCGTGCCCCTCTCCTTTTTCTAATTCCTGATAATCTTAACTTCTCGCGAAGGCGGTCCAACGTGGGAGAGGCGACGATATGTCGAAAGGACAGAGAAAGAAGGGTTGTCTCGTCGTTTTCGTGCGCATTCGCAGACAAAGGTGTCACACGCACACCCGTAAGCTGCACGCCGTCGCTCCTAATTTACCTACGGCAGGATGTTCTACCGTACCCTCTTTAGCAAACCGACAAACTACGGGCTGCGGTCGCCACAAAGACCTTCCGACACTGCTAGCGCGTTATTATTTAGTCGTTGATTCTGGTGAGAGAGGATTTACAATAGAGATGCTGCCCCTTTGCCCTGGTTTCCGTTAAACCTGACGGCCTTTCGGCGGTCATACGATGACGGCCACACGGTCGTACCGCTTCTTGGAATTCTGGGAGCTAGGATCATGGTAAGAGGTGTAGGCAGAGTCCTTCCCTGTGCTTTATTCCAAACAAAATTCGAGTCTATCACGTCAGCATGGCTCTGCTGGGGCTGTAGCGCTCGTGATTGAAGCAAGCACATTTTCTTGTGCAAATGACACGGTACTTCAAGTATCCCACCTGTTTACAACAACATGTTCTGAGGTTCCGTTCCTCCTTCTGGACCCACGTATGGCTGCATCAATACATCGATCATACGAATGACCAAAAACTACAGCTGCAGCTACAAGCAGCAGCAGCACCAACAACAACAACAACAACAACAACAACGCAGTTACGTCCCCCCCGTCTCCGATAACCGACCCACCAATCGATTGCTTCTCGAAGGACGAGTTCATGACGACAGCAGGGGAGTTCGCCGCTCAGATCTTCATCCAGACGTGGTTCTTGCGCCGCAAGCGAGGGCTAGCACCGCCGCAGGATCGGCGGTGTGTCGACTTCACTCGGCTGGTCATCATGTGCTCCGATCTGGCACGCCTGGGGGACTACGAGCTGTTGATCAACCTGTGGGCATGCGTCTTACACAGGTAAAGGTGCGATGGTTCGCTTGTATGAATGCTTCAAGACTTCATTGTCAGCCGCCATACGTGTAGAGGGCCAGCCTCTCTTCAGCGTAAATGAGAAGAAAAAATCTTGTTCACGATGAGTCTTCATCCATGGACTTCGGACACCAACCCCTGACTAAGCCCCAACAAACCTATCAGGTTCAGCGGCATTCTACCCACTGGCACGGTCGACTTGGACACGCGTGTCAACGTCGAGCTGGTTAGGGAAGTGATCACTGTGCTGCACACGGCCCTCGATAAGAAGCTCGACCTCTTGATCGGCATGCTCCTGGAAGAGTCCGAAGAAGTCGAAATACAGGTAAAGACACTAAGGTCACTGGGCCGCTTTCTACTGCTCATCCCATCTAATGTGCATGTTGGGCTAGTCCCCGCAAATGACGGCAGTGGTCTAGCTGGCACCATCCCGACTCTTTCCCCCAAATTCCCCCCTGTGCCCCTCCTGTGATGCGTGGTTGAAATTTGTGGCGAGAGAGGGGCGTTAATCCAGCAGGACACAAGGTACTTGAGGCAAACACATGTGCTTGGGCTTCAGGGTGTAGACTAGGATGTTCAATTTCGGCAACTAGCATGCGTTTCAACGGTAGCCCAAACCCGCTTTGTATATGGTAGTCATTTCGTAGAATCGCAAGATAAATTGCAAGAAAAAACACGAAGGCTCGGCCTTTGAAGACGTGCTACTCACGTGCTCTATGTTCGTTCGTGCCTGGGAACGTGTGTAAACAAGTGAACAATGACCTAGTAGTTCTACACCCCGATCTGTTTCTTTTCGGCCTTTTTTCTGGTGTTCCCGACAACAGGGGGACGTTGCGAGCACGCGAGGACTTTCCAGCACCAGCAGCGGCGGCGGCGGCGGCGGCGGCGGCGGTACAACAAGGACAGGGGAGGAGGGGCAACGCAAAATCATCCACAAGAGCAACGGGGAGGAGGCGGAGGGGGCGCCGTCGCAAGCGCAGCGGCGAAGATACCTGACGCTCCGGAGCATCCTCCGTTTTAGCTTCCAGCACCCCCCCCTGATGTTCCCAGTTGTGCAGTTCCAGCGAGTGCTCAGGTGTAAAATCATCGGTGAGGAGGGGAAGGAGGGTGGGGGGGTAAAGTGCTCGTCTCTTTTGCTTCATTGAGCGTTGGCAATAAAATATGTGCTTGCTTGGCCATTGACCACGCGCAATGTGTGCATCCGTTTCGCTATCCCTGAAGTCGACATCACCGAACGGCTGGTCGCTCTTAACGGCTCCGCAATGCTTGACATGGATTGTGTGAAATCCTTCATCATCGAATGGATGCGCACGACATACTCCATGCGAGTTTTTTACACTTAGTACTAATGCCCCCCCGCCCCCCCTACACACAAGCTACGTACACATCATGGCGCTTTCAACTTTGATGCAACATCTGCCCAGTTGACGGTTCCCTCTTTCGGTAGGACTCTGCCTCATGCTCATGAAAACACGCCACGAACACCCAAATTTTAACGCCATATCTCCCCAACCCCTTCTGCCGGCCCTTTTTCCCCATCCGACTGTTTGAGAGGAACGCGTGGTCCAAAATCCTGACAATCGATGTACAAGAACTCCCCCCCCCCCCCCGCCCTCCCTTCCGTGTAGAAAACTCATGAAGCCATTGATCGAAAGGACGAATCTAGAAGAAGAAGGCGAGTACCACAACATCGCAACCCCCCCCGCCCCCCTCCCTGGCCAGGGAGTCGGTACTGGCTTCGCCGCCGGAGGCCAGCCTTCGAACGCGGGGTGGACATGCAGTCATCCCTGGGTCTGCCGAACGCCTACTGCGATGTTTTCGACCGCATCGAGAGCCGCGGCGCCGCCTGGTTGGTCGCGACCGGTCATCTGTTGCTTCACGCCTTCGACCCACCACCAAGAGGAGATGCTGCTGCTGCTGCTGTTTCTGATTCTTCTTCCTCTTCTAAGCTGCGCAACGATGGCAAGGGCGCCGGTGGCCGGCTCGCGACGAGCGGGGAGGGGCGTGATGGCGGTAGGGGCGATGGTGATGGGCGAGATGACGAGGAACGGCGCGAGGAACAGTACCGACGGCTGCTGGACAACTGTCTGGAGCCATCGTGGTACGAGAAGAAGAGCGAAAACAAAGGGGCCACTACGACGGTGATCGAAGCGGTAGGAGGGAAAGCGATGCCGTCGCTGACGGCCGCCCTGACTAGACTCACAAACAGCTCGACGTCTGCGACCTCGTCTCTGCTCAGCGGTACGAGGAGCGCCAAGAACACCAGCATCCGACAAGCCAGTTCTCCTGCAGTCACAGCTGTACCACAAGAAGGCAGCGCCGACAACAGCCTCCAGGCGCAGCCAAGGCCGCCGTCCACCCCAACGAGCCCGCAGACGATGACACTGTTGTCACTGCCTAGCAGCGCCGGGACAGGCCGTAGACGGCGCAGCCGTAGCCCTAGCCGAAGATCCCACAGGCAGAACGGGCAAGGTGGGAACAGAACGGGCACCCGCTCCCCTGCGGCGAACACCCGCCTTCCAGCCACCACGGCCGTCGGGCCCGGCGGCAAGACTTGCGCGGTGTGCCTCCGGCGATCGTCCCCCGCCGCCATGTGCCCCAAGTGCGGCCGCCGAGCCGCCAAGGCTCTGAAGGACAGGGAGGGCTCCCGGAAGGCCCGGGTGATCCTCGTCCCCTACGGCGGCCACTTCGGGGTGCGCGAGGCGGACGCCCTGCAGAGAGAGGGCGACTCGGTCAAGCGCTGGGTCCGACTGCTGGACGACGAGACGGGGGCGGACTTTTACCACAACGTACACTACGGCTCTTCGGTCTGGAAGTCCGGGATCGAACTGCCGAAGCCTGCGCCCGCTGTGAAGGCCGCCCGGCGGCGACGAAAGGTTGGTGATGGCGGCGGCGGGGTGGTGGCGGTGGTAGGCTCGCCGAAGTCTGCGGCCTCTGTTCCCCGCAGTACCACCCCCCCCGCCCCCGGGCGCCCCGCGGCTGGAGCCTTGCCGATGGCGAGAGCGGCTACGAGCCCGGGCGCGATAGGGATGGCGGCATCCGGTAGTATTGTCCACCGGACGGTGCTCGTGCGAAAGACCATGACGGCGTTTTCGGTCGCGTCGGTGGCGGCTCTGAGGGCTGCTGCGGGAGGTACCGCCAATGGCGGCGACAACAACGACGGCGAGGACGACGATAGCAAGAGCAACAATTACGACAACGACGACGGCGACAACAATGGCAATGTCAACAAGGGCACCTCTTCTCCTAGGTCGATCATCAAGCCGGCCATAAAAAAAACAGCGGCTGCGTCGTCACCCGCGTCGTCCCAGTCTCCGCCACAGAAAAACGCCTCCGCCTCTCCCACGGCCGCCGCCGCTTCACCCGGCCGCAACCGAGTGATAGTGCGTGACGCGGGGGACGCAGAACCCGAGGTCGTCCTCGACGCCCACAGGAGGATCTATCCGCCATTCAGACTCGTCTCGTGGGAGGAGGTAGAAGCCGCGGCGGTGGCGGCGGAGTTGGCAGGCATGAAAGGCGTTTCGCCTAGGCCGGGGACGGGGGTGTCGGGGAGGAAGAGTTACTCGCGGGGGACGTCAGGGGATTCGGCCGGCAGGGGGCGGCGGACGAGGCTGACGACGGCGGTGACCAAGGGCGGCGGGTAGTGCTCGAAAAAATGCCGGTCGGAGAGCTGCCGCTGCTGCTGCTACGATGGCGAAGATTCAGCAGTCGATGTTTACTGTTGGATGTGTGGACGTACCTTAGTTCTCTCCGCGTTAGAGGTGCTTCTCCTGTCTTGTGTCTGGCTTCCAAGTTTGTCGTGTTTTTTGTTCATGTGATGCATCAGTTCCTGGAGGGGGTACAAGGTGACAAATGAAATGTTTGCAGCAGAACAACCTCTCTCCAAAACCTGGACCTTGCCATCAGCGTCCGTCGGCGGTAAAGAAAGGGAGAAAACTCTCCGAATGAGGCTCTCACTTTCACGATACTGTTAAGGATATCCCTCTTCAAAACATGGAGGTCGGCGGGGTCCTACCCAGGCTTATATCCATCCGTAGAAGGAAGCGACACTTGATATTCGCACGTTGTCGCGCTGAGTTTTTTTAAGCCCCTCGCGGTTCGTGGTTGTTCCTGTTGTCTCGAAAACGCTTCGTGACACAGAATCACTATACGCTCGTCCTGCGCTTGTCGCTACAAAAAAAAATCTCGTTTTTGGTCACGACGGCCGACGGACGTAAACACGGATCGGATGTGTAGACAGCAGCATCACAAGGCACGTGTGGACGCATCATACCTCCGACATTGCAGAGAACAACGCGTGCGTGCAGACAGAAGAGAAAAAAAATAGGCTTTTGCTTGTCCACATCTGTCCCTGGCTCTTTGAGGAAATCGGACCCTTATCATTTGGTGTTGTTTATTTTTTCTTTTTATTCTCATAACAGAACCAACACGTCCTCGTTCGCCGTTCGGATCACTTCCGCACGACCGCTCCCCCCCCCCGCGAAGGGTGTGCTGTGTGACTGAATTCCGTACGAGCGATGCCCTTTGATGCGATACCA